CGTCCCATCCCATGTCCCGTTTAACATGGGCCCATCCCGTTTAAAATTAAGTGGGACGGGACGGGACGTCCCGTCCCGTTGGACAGCCATAGTTCATGCCAGCTGCTAAGCTGTAAAAAGCACTAGGTGGATTTTTCCCATCTACCTTGCGGGCTCGGGCACAATTACCTGGTATGCTGATGGGACGTAGCACATACCAGGTGGAATAGTCAAGCTGCGCATGAGCTGGATTGGACACTACCGTCATAAGAATGTGTGTTGCTAAGCGGTAAAGACGCTAGCTTCGCATCTGCCCCTTGGACAAAGTTTCCGCTTGTGGGAGGTAGCAAGTAACCTGATGTAATAGTTGAGTTGTGTTCAAGATGGCTCGGACACCATCGCCATTAAAAGAGTTGTTTGTCTAAGCTGTATAATTGCAGTTGTAAAATATATAAAATTAGAGAAATCAGAGAAGTATAGCCAATCCTAAGCCTAGATAATAGATGAGGATTTAGTTGTACTTGAAATAGTTTAATGATGATGAATCTTCTTAATACCTATGTTGCTCGTACTCTCCGAAAATGTCGCCAGGTGCGTGTTGGATCCTTCAAATGTAGTGTATTTTTGGAGGATCCGAAACGGGTGCTGCGTCATTTTGGAGAGTCCGCGCAACATAGCTTAATATGGAATTCCGACACCTGCTCGTGATGTATAGAGGAAAATGAGGAATTTGGAATGAAAGAAATAAGAGAATATTCCAGGATGTTGAAACAATTTTAAATTGCATCAATTTCTTTATCAAACTTCATATATTATTTTGGTGTAAAGAGGAGATAACTACACGTCCAGATCATTGAGATAGTAGATGACTGTGGGTAAATTTATGTATCGATTTTTAACACCTACTTGGTGTGAGATGGATGCACACCAGGTTAGATAGGATTAGGAATGAGGTTATTCGCGACAAGGTGGGTGTGGCCCCCTATTGAGGACAAGATGCGAGGAAGCGCGGCTTAGGTGGTTTGGTCATGTTAGGAGTAGCAGCACAGACGCCCCAGTGAGGAGGTGTGAGAGGTTGACATTGGAGGGCCTACGGAGAGGTAGAGGTAAGCTGAAGAAGAAGTGGGGAGAGGTGATTAGGCAAGCCTTGCCGCAGCTTCAGCTGACCGAGGACATGACCCTTGATAGGAAGGTGTGGAGGTCGAGGATTAGGGTAGTAGGGTAGGTAGTCTAGAGTGTTCATAACAGTAGTATTCGTACGCAGTCTCGCTTTCTGTTGATAGTAGATTTTTATGACTAACCGTTATTTTCTTTCATTGTTGATTACCTTACTATCTTGTTGTTTTTATTCTGTTTTTATATGACTTTTTGGTGCCATCCCTTCTTGTCTATATTTTTATTAATGTAGTGCTTATGCTTTCTTGAGCCGATGGTCTATTGGAAACAACATCTCTATCCTCACAAGGTAGGGGTATGGTCTGTGTACACACTCCTCTCTCCAGACCCCACGGTGTGGGATAATACTGGGTATGTTGTTGTTGTTGTTGTATTTGTTTTATCCCCAAAAGAGAAAAAAGCAAAAGTTGAAAAGCATAGGTACTAGATACATCACTCCATAGGGGAACATGACCGTAAATCTGAGCTATTCCCCTCCTGAGTGAAGATAGGAAATCTCTGGGCTATTCCAACTCTTTGAGCAAAAGTTGAAAAGCAATAGTGTGTTTGCTGCTTATAATGTTTTTATTTAATTCTTCCCAAAAAAGAAATACTTTAAGCAGCGAACACTTAAGGCTTATATCTACTATACGCTCGTCCCAGCATGCTTTTCAAGCATAATACTTTAATCAAAACGTTATATATCTCTTGCTTTATGAATAATAAAAAAATACATCTCTTGCTTTATGCTAGTTATGAAAAATTGGGCTATAAGTAGGGTTATCAACCTTAAAAGCTCTTGAACTCTTTTTACTCCTAACTGCACTATCCACACGATAATTTCTATAATTTGTTGAAACTACAAGAGAATTGGGGATTTTATCATTTTTTTAAATGGAGAATTGGGGATATGATCATTATGAGTGGTAATATAGGATTGCCCTAAAATTCTACTAAATTATTCTTAATCCTTACTAAACCCAACAATAATTATGAGTTGATCTCGAAGCTAGGAAAACTCATGATGCAACTCAACCCAATCTCACAAGATTAGAGTTTAACGTTTGTATCTCGCCGATCAAAAAAGAAAAATATCTTACTTTCGAGTCTTGAAGAATCATGATCTTGATTGGGTTCACCCTAATATTCTTTTCTTCTTTCCATGGACTGCTAAGAGCTGTCAAAAATCTTTAATATACATTAGGGTTGAAGCTTATATAGTTACAGTGTAAAAACACAAGAAAATCTCGAAAATATCGCACCGGCATGGGATTTACAGTGGTGCTTTAATTCTCACGTGCGCTGTAACCCTCCGCTTTGCATGCCCAACTACCCTTGTTTTACCGCATCACCATACACTTCTTCGGGATGAGGTAGCCTTCTTTACTTCGGCCATATAGTCTCAGCACTCTCTTCTTCCGGGACTTGTTTTGTGGTGTGAGGCATTACAAGCTAATAAAGTTTGTTTGGTATGTTCTTTTATTTATCAAGATAATTTAATGAAATATTTATGGTCTCTCTGTGTGTATGTGTGTATGTAAACTGATTTGAAAAAGAAAATTATGTCTACATAATTTTGGAAGATTTCACATGTTCATGGGTGACTCAATGTGTTATAGGACTTATGACACTCATGTCTTGTGCCTGTGCTAGTATTGGAGGAAACTCAGATTAAAAAGATTTTATGGCTTTCATAGTGTTCTGTATGATCTCTTTCGTAAATTAAATCTATTCCGATTTATTCAGATTTAATTAATGTGATATTCTTATGTTTACCAGCTTCAACAATTTAGACAGAAGAAAGACGGTAAAGGTGGTAAATCAAGTAACGCCAGTAAATCTGGCAGTGATGTTACTCCAGATCTTGTTAACGTGACGGCAAAGTCAGATCAAGTTCCTGATGAAGAAAAACCACTTCACAGAGGTGATGGCACTCCTACTTCCTCGGAGTCACTTACCAGAAAGGATGTCTCAGTAACACATGCTGAAGCTCCTCCTCTTGATGAGTCGCTCAACGTTGAAACAGTTGAAATGACATCAGCCAGTGGCAAGCTGGTAAAAGAGGATGCTGGTGAACCTGAAGCTTCTTTGAATTCAGATTCTGGTGATCGGGATATTGTTGGTTCATCTTCAATTTCTGAACATGCTAATGCCAAAATGGTAATCCAAGATGTAACAGACGCGTATTTGGAAGCTCCCAGAATTATTGCTTCTGATGTTTCCGCTAAAAGTTCCACAACGGATGTTCCTGTTGATTTCTCATCTTATTCCAGTGCTGATGAAGCAGTTGCTCACCAAGTAGAAGTGGAAAGGCCGCATGTATCGGAGCAGGTATCAGATGTAGGTTGTGCCTTCTCTCTTGACATCCATGCCCTTTTGCATGTCATATATCCAATTGTGTGTATTTGCCTATAATGAAAGTCTCATTGTTGCTGGGTAGGGACAATGCAGGAATCACATAATTCAGGTTCGAAGCAAGTTGATTCAAGCAGTGAGGTAGAGATTGAAGGAGACAAGAAGCTCCCTTTGAACGAATCAACTGAGACTTCTATTAGCCAGACAGCCACTCTAGTGGGAGATGAGGGCAATGAGGAAACAAAAGCTGAATACATTCAAGTCAGCGAGCCAAATAATGTTCTATCAGCTGTTTTAGCAACTCAAAATGCAGAAATAGCTGAGGACAGTGGTAGGCATCCAACTACTCTTGATTTTTTACCTGAATGGATGAACTCTCTTTAATAATTTCTCAAATGGTAGGTCATCAGATGGAAGATGCAGCTTCTGGTTTGCACGAGGAAGAAAAACTAGAAAGGCCTTCGAGTGCTGGTGAATATGAAAATTACAGGGATAATATTCAAATTTCTGACTCCATAGATATTGTTTCTGGGGATTCTGTAAAAAATAAAATGGTGAACATCTCATCGAGGTCAGATGAAAGTTATATTAGCTTGTATCAGCTGGCGGAGGTGGTACGAGACCTTGATGAAGATGGCTTTAGGTTCTTGCTCACGTGCAGAGAATCAGCTCCAAATGCACCTTCTTCGAAGCTTTTTGACGATTTTGAGAAGCTCAAAGAACAGCTATACCTAGCAAGTCTTGTAAAAGATGTCTCTTGTTTGCAGCTAGCTGAAGAGTCAGAACTTCAGATGGAACTC